AAATCGCTGTAGAGTGAAAATGTCGTAAAGCGAAATAAAAAAGCCCATTGAAATGCATTGAAAACCATTCAATGTGTTCCAATGGGCTGCAAACTCACCGTCCAGCGAAGATCCTCCATAGGGGCAGCCATTTTCAGGTGCCTGCAAAGCGAAAAATGGCTCCTAAACACAGCGGGGAGCCATTTTGTACACCCAGCGGCCATTTTGAAACCCGACCATCAGCTGTTTTTGATTGTCATAAAGAGAAAATCAGTTCCCGAAGCAGGGAACCGATCATCGCAAAGCAGAAAAACCCCATTCAAACTATCATTTTGCAATCGCAAAAGTGATCGCAAGAACATTGTCATCAAGTGGATTTGTCGTTAAACGGGGTAATCGTAAAGCGGGGCACAACTGTACTGTTGTCATGATCACAATGTTATGCCCCTAATACTTACGAGGATTCACAAGACTCTCCCCCTCCCAACTATGCCGGAGTAGGCAACATGACCCTTTCTGAATACTATGGACTACAACTCCTATTGGCCCCAGGTTAACACAGCCAACGGCCAGGGATTACAGGAGCTGCAGTTAAAAACATCTGGGTACTCCCAGTTTGTCTATCCATGGACTAGACACTTCTGCTGTTAGAGAGTAACCTCTAACAACTTCAATGATGTTCTCTTCTAATCTCAGTAAGTAAACTAAGACTGAACACATGCTACAGAAGATAAACAATGGCAAGAGAAAAAAACAATAGAAACTATTGAGCAGCAACGCTAAAATATCTATAACCTATCTTTCTGTTTTAATGACTTATTTCTCTTAAGAAGATTCTTTCTATTTTTAAGGAGATCCCCTTCATGCAGCCACATCTGGTGGGCTGCTACCTTAAAAAAGAAAGAAAACATACACTGAAGCTAAGCACAATCTTCAAGGGACGTGAAAAAAAAGTGTGTTTCTGAGTAACATGTTCAGTGTTGATGCCTAAGAGACGACAGTTTCCATTCCATAGCACAGTAGGTATTTACTCTACAGAGCTAAGGTTGCACATTAACTTTAGGATGATGTACCACATTTTATGCTGACTATCTGTAGTGCAATCATGCAATCAGGCATGTCTGTTTGCTAGGAAAAGACTGTTTCCACCTTGGCCCACAGCCAAATAAGTTTCCTAATCCTCCCTCAATATTAAGAAATTGATTTCGAGATTCTGAAGGTGAGACCATTTCTAGCAGCTGGTGAGCAGGTAGACAGCAAACGCATACAATTTGCAACATCTGGAAAGATGTTTATATTGTATTGTGGGAGGCAGTTTAGCTGGAGGTTATTGCAAATTCCAGCAGGATAACAAGTGAGAATGCCAAGACAATGACCTGCTCTGAAGCCTATCATAGGGTGGGAAAAAGGTCAATGATACTCTTCTGGGCATGAAATCTTCTTGTTTAAATGATTCCAAAATATTTGAACCTCTCTGTAGAAAAGGCACCACAGTGATCTGGCTATTCCCACATGCTCTTCTGATGTCACAAAATAACAAAGCAATTGCAAACCACCTCTAAAGCTAACAGATTTATTACAGCACGAGCTTTCGTGTGCATACTACCTGCTTCTTTCTCATGCATGTTTTTCTTAATTGGCTGTAATCCTAGCCTTCATGCTTCTCTTTGCATCAGAATGAGTGCTGAAATTTTGCACATGGACTCACAAGGAAACAAATGGAAACTCAATCATAAGGACACAGAAAAATGCCTTATGTGTGGAGTCAAAGCATTCACTCGTATGGACTAGTATTGTCAACACTATTTGACAATGGATCTCTGGGATTTCAGGCATGATGCTTTCCTATCTTATCCAGAGATGCTAAAGACTGAACCTGGGAACTTCTGTATGTAAAGCACATGCTCTAACACTGAGCTATAGACCTTCTCATTCAGACAGGATGGATATTTTAAGCACATGCTCTAACACTTATAGACCTTCTCATTCAGACAGGATGGATTGGTGGATGGTTTTCAGTTTCACCACACAGGTGGAAGATGTTCACTCTGTTCTAGATAGCGTTGTAGAAAGGATCAAGTTCACAGCCAAGAGTGCTTATTGCCAAACATCAACAGAGGCTCAACTGATCTTTGCAACTCTACGTACCTTCCAAAGGCTTCAGCTTGCTTTCATTAACTAAAGCAGTAAACAAGTATAAATCCTCTGTTGAAATGTCTTTGAGAAAACAGAAAATCCAGGACCTGCTCATGCTGGCTGAACTGTCACATATATTATACCAAATGAAAGCTCTCTTCTAATGATTTCCTAGTATCTTGCAGTAGGACGTAATTCAGAGCTGTGTTGGATTTGGGACTGGAAGAAGCTTCTTGTTCTAGCACAACTGCTCGTGCTCCTGATCTTAGACCTGCCAGCACAACTGAACCCACCAACAAAACTGTGGGTCTGGCTGAAATGAGCCAGGAGAAGGTTTTAAAAGGGAGTGGAGAAAGGAAGGAGTAAGAAAGAAGGTGAGCCTTCTCAGATCCAAACCTCTCTCCGCCCAGTGTATGCCAACACAAAGCCAGACCAAGGTCAGGGTAATAATAACTACATGCTATCAAGTCCATTCTGACTTATTGTGGCCTTTTTAGGTTCAGTTTACTCAGGAATGGCTTCCCTTCTTCTAAAGGTGTTCTGGGATCACTAAGTTGCCAACGCCACACATGCTGGTTCTTCTCCTAGAAGACACGATGGGTCAGGGTAGTCCTAAGCAAATTCCAACATTCTGGGAGGGATATGGAAAGATTCAGCTGGCTTAGAATCCTGTCTAGTTAGGACTATGCCCTTGATTGCCTTTCATGACCAACAACTCTACACATGTCTACTGATAAGTAAGACCTACTGTGTTGAACGGGATTTTCTACCCAGCAAGGTCTAGCTCCAGCACACTAGCAAAGCAAACAAAAACTAACAATAAGAAAAAGAACAAAAACACAACCGTAGTTTTTCTGGATCTACTGTGCCAGCAATAACACAAGAGACAGCATGCATATATATTGTGGCTCACACAGCGGAAAACTGCATTGGATCTTCAACTTGTACTAACTGCAGAAACTCATTCTTGTTAGGATTCTACTACAATGGCACTGCTGGATGGAAATTCAAGTGTACAGAAGATAGAAGCCTAAATTTACTAAAAATGTACCACTAACTAAATCAAAACTGTCTATTTTTCTATGCAACATCAACTGGATTGCACGTCTACCTGAGTACTGTAACTTGTTTCCATTCTTTCCTTTAATTATTCTGTGTTTTTTAAACTTCCTGTTTGATTGTCATTTGTGTACTGAGTTTTTTTAAAGACTGAATTTCTGTTTGTTTGCAACATTTTAATAGGCTTTTACACAGAGAGAAAACAGGCAGAACCCACAAAGTTAATTTTTTTCCATTTACAGTAGATTGATTTCAGTGGGAGAACTAAGCACTGGTTTAACTTTTTCTTGATAGAAACAGTGGGTTTTAACATAGGTTGAATGGCACCTACTTGCATTCAAAGTTACGGGCATAAGCTTCTAATTGTATTTAAATTGACTGCCAAGCATCAATCAGCAAAACGAATAAAGGTATTATTTGAGAGTAGAATAGGAAAGGAAATGTGCCAGTACATGCTCATTTATGTTACAACCAACTGCATTTTTAAAATAATACTGAAGACAGATTTATGTTGAAAGAAATGTACTTTTCTGACTGTGAAGAAAACTGAGTGGATGTTTAACTGTTATGTGCCAGATTTTTTATGGCTTCCATTTTAATTTTATTTTGGGGCACAAGCTTTCTATTGCATGAATCTGTAATCTCATAAATGTTCCAAGAGTAACTTCACTACTGCTTCAAGAATACTAGAACAGGAAACATAAGTATTTAGAGGATTATGACTCATAACTGACTAATTTGGACAGTCCTCTTAACTCAACTAAAAGCCAGCATTTCTGTATATTATTATCATGTCCCTACTCTTCTAGCTCAGTTCTGTTTTCAAAATATAGTTTATGAAGCCAAAAGAACAAATGAGAAAGTAAGAAATGTTATTAATACATGAACCACCACAAGACACTGTCAGGCTAAATAGAGGGAAATGGTTTAGGCCAGATTGGTTTAAGTCTTTATCAGTAAAGCTATCCCAAAATGCTTTTTGCTTAAATTCCAGTGCAGACCACACGTTTCATTAAGGCATAAAGTATTTGTTCCCCGCTGACACTATCTTGCTTGTGAATGTGAACAGTCCACAGTCCACAGTGAATTTCAGATTATTTTATTATACAGTGGTGCCTCGCTTAACGAGGATAATCCGTTCCAGCGAAATTGCTGTACAGCAAAATCCTCGTTAAGCGAAATAAAAAATCCCATTGAAACGCATTGAAAACCCGTTTTCAATGCGTTCTAATGGGCTGAAAACTCACCATCCAGCGAAGATCCTCCATAGGGGCAGCCATTTTTGGTGCCTGTATAGCGAGGAATCCATCCAAAAACACAGCGGGGAGCCATTTTACACAGCGGGCGGCCATTTTGAAGCCACTGATCAGCTGTTTTAAAATCGTTATAATGCGAAGAATCGGTTCCCGAAGCAGGGAACCGATCGTTGCAAAGCGAATTTTGCCTTTTAAAACATCATTTTGCAATCGCAAAACAGTCATTGTATAGCGGTTTCATCGTTTAATGAAGCAATCGTTAAGCAAGGCACCACTGTAATATGCAAGCAAAAATTAACTTTAAAAGTTAGATACGTAATTCAAAAAAGAGAAGAAAGGACACATACTGCACTTAATACTCTGTTTCCATAACAGTACTATCTATATTGAAATTCACAGTCTAAAATGTCCAGGAGTCTTAGCCTGTCAGTGTCATGGGTAAAAGCAAAGGTCCCATGTGCATCATAAGCCCTGAATTACGGAAGTGTCTGTGATTAAATGAAAGGCATTATTAGAGAAATACAAGCCCCATTTTGAGTGGCTCAAATCCCCAGGAGATGAGATACTCACGTTGGCATTGGCCCCATGAGTGCCGAACCCAGCCCCAGCAGCAATCAACTCTGCTTCCAAAGCGGCATAATCCAGTTGTGGAAAGAATTTGCCTGGACCACCTGCAACAGCACCAAAAATACATCTGAAACCGAGTAAATGCCATGCCAAGTCTAAACCTGCCGACTCAAGAAACAATATCAATACCTGTACTCTCATCGTTCTTGGCAAAGTGGTTGTCCAATCTTCGCATCAGAAAGTTCTAAGGAAGGTCAATGTCTCCCTCGACAGCTTTTTCAATTGCTCTGAACTACTCAAATAAGATTCCAGAATGGTTCATATATGTGTATTCATCACTTGATGAGGATGGGTTCAAGCAATGGCATGCATTTGTGAAGGAAGAGTCATCATTCAGTTGGCAGACATCAGATACAGAGAAAAAGCCAGCAATGTTCATACAAAGTGAAAGTCAGCTACCAGAAAACGTCCTCAGCAGCTTAACCACGAACATACTTGGCAAGCTGAGATTGGCAGAAGGTATTGCCCACATCCCTCACCTTCTGAACTTAGCTCATGTATGAGTTAAAAGAGGGTCTTTTCAGTGGTAGTGTTTAGCTAATTTCTTCAGCCTGGAGTACAGTTGGAAGACTGTCCTGGACATGATGCTGAATTCCAAAGTGATTGCGCACAATCACAATGAAGAGATTGTCCCCTAGGCAAGAGGCAGCCTCCTGGTGACCAGATCTTAGTATCTGGTTACCAGACCCAGACAAAATTCAGTCACCATATATTAAATTGAAACACAGAGCAGAGCAGCTGTGACTCAGATAGGCGGGGGTATAAATTAAATAAATAAAACACAGAGCAGGGCAGCTGTGACTTACATCAAATTGATGTAAATCACAATTTAAGTCATGATTTCAATTTAAAAAAATGGATCATGATTTAAATCAATTTGATTTTTTAAAAATACCTGTATTGATTTTTATCCACCCTGACACAGGGTGGTAAGATACACTGGCCAAAATCCTTTTGCCTAGTTACACTGGTCGAACACAAATGGCATAACAGTCGAAAGATAACTGCCCTTAGCAAAGAAATCTCTGCAGATAGTACTGACAGTACAGTATCAGTATAATGAGACAGTGACTCAGTGTGCAACAGATCGTATGTATGAAGATGTCTTAATTTGAGGCAATTTGCCTCCAAAAGTTATGACTTTTGCATAGCTGTGCAAGAGGATTTTGGCCGCTTTACCAGCTGTCTGCATGAGATAAGTGCAGGCTGGTAAACAAACCATTTTTAAAAAATGACTCTTTAATTTAGAAGCCCATTGTATCTATTGCCTATCCCGCACAACCCTAATTTGAATCAGGTTTTCATCACATTTTGACACTTTACAGCTATAGCAATTACACACACACATTCCTGTTCTTCAGCACTCACTTTAACATTTCACTTATCTAGATTCATGTTTAAACTTGAGTTGCAATCTTCCCAGTGTACTATTTCAAGGAGTCCTTTGCTCAAGTCATCAACTTCTGGCTTATTCATCTTATGAAACAGGATTTACATATTAAATAGGATTTTATATCTAATTCCCCCTGCCAATCCATCCTTAGCATTAGTCATAACATTCTATGCAAATATATTTACAATATAGGAACTCCTTGTGTACAGTTACATAACTGTCCGATCTATATAAAGAAAAACATGCATGAAAGCAGACTTCTGCACATGTCTCACTCCCCACATGAGTAACCACAGGCAAAAATCAAATCAAATAAATAAATAAATAAAGAGAAAGAAAGAAAGAAAGAAAGAAAGAAAGAAAGAAAGAAAGAAAGAAAGAAAGAAAGCAGAGATGTCAGTTTCTGGTGTGTTTCCTGGTCCAGTTTAAACTGCTGGTGATCATCTCTGACGCCATGAACTGCTCAGGACCAAGCTATCTGAAAGACCACTCACACCTATAGGCTCCAAGACTTGCAATACAGTCCTTGCTCATACACCCTTTAGTAACATATATTAGGCAAGTGGGCATAAGCGGTTTATTCTATGGAGGTCTCATCCTAATGTCTGCCATGCAATGATAGCATGCGCTTCCCTCTCTGACGGTTTTAAGTGACCTTTAAAAAGGGATGTTTCAATCTACTTTTACATGAATAGTTGGCTCCTTTTATTTTTTGTTAATGTCATCGTTTTAATTTATTTGTATAGTTATTTTTAAAATAAATACTAAACTGCTTTGAGGAGCCTTCACTTTGAGAAGTAGTATAAACATCTTAGAAATGAATGAATGAGTGACTTAATATCTTGCACAGGCAAACCAAAGTGGATGTTTTATATTAGCTGCTTTTTTCAAAACCAAGTTGTGGGTATTATGAAAGCTGTATTACCTCATCAGGTTGGCTTCTGCCAAATTATATAGACGGAAGGTGTGCTACCCCTTAACATCCCCAGGTATCTTCATGTACTGCTTAAGAATCAGGCACCAAAAAGTCTGCAGACTTTAGCTATTTCCAGTCAATAAACAAGACAAGGTTTCCAGGTGTGCATCCTTTTCTTGGCTTGAGGGGGTAACAGAAAACACGCAACAGTTTCAGTTGACTTGTCACCACTACGTGCATGTCAGCATGTCCCAAAAGGAAACTGGTTTGCAGGCATCATTTATTTGCCATGAATGTCAAATAGAAATGGCTTTATATAAGAGGTCAAAATAGTCTCAGTCCATATGACAAATCTCACAGAATTAATATATAGCTGCAACGTGTGGGAGTAGAGACTGAGCAGTAAAAAGAACACTGGGTTGCCCAAACCTGTCAAAGCCTGCCTATCTCACATCTTTCCACAACTAAAATATGTACAGTCCACGAAATGCAATCCCAACTTTGCAGTTTTTCTGGCTAATTTCTGTTTCAGACATGTATTTAGAAAAGCACATATGTATGCACAAAAAAAGTACTTTAAGAACTGATGTGACTATTCTCACAGAGTGCACAACACACTCATACCTCCCTGTAACACTCATAAAGGTTACTATACAGATACTTTACACGTGATTTTTTGTTTGTTTTCTGAGACTAGTTACTCAGTTACACCAATCTACTCCCCCTAGAGGATTGAGGGGAAAACAGATGTCAAAACACAAACATCACAATACTCTAAAAAATACTTTCTTTTTTTTTTTAAGTGTGCTGCTTACTTCTAAGGCTCTTACTGTCATGCTGCCTTTTGCAAAACATGTACGAAGTTTAGTGAAAAGAAAAGGCAAGGATTCTGTATGCCACAGATTACAGTCTATCCTACAGTAATTATCCAAAAATTATGATAATCCATTATGCTCATCAATCCCAAACATATAACGACTGACCCTTCAGCTTCCTGTTGTCAATCCAGTATCACATACAGTTAATTTAACAGTCACTGCAATTCCAATGGCAAATATGAACCCCCAACCTAAACCACAGGTTGGCATGGAATAAAAATGGAGCAGGGGGATTCATTGTTTGATCTAAACACATTGGCATCATCCTAAGAGCAGGGGATGGCCTGTGGCTCTGTGGCGCCATCGTACAGCATATGATTTGGATACATAGATTCAATCACAGTCTCTTCAAATGAGGCTAGGAAAAGTTACAGACTGAAATCCCAGAGAACTTCTGCTAGTGCATAATCTATGTACTGTAAATTTTGTCAGATCCCCAGTGCTTTTACTCAGTTAAAATAAATACATTAAGGCAATAAAGTTGAGAAATCCATCCAGTTCTGGGTTTAAACCACTCCGATATTACTTAGAGGGAGGTTGTACTTACTTTCAAGTAAGCATGCCCAGAATTCAGGTGTAGAGGAACTTGCATATGAATGCCTAATTCCGAAGCAGCCCAAACTTACAGAAACACATCCAACTTTAGCATCAAGAACCAATGTGGAGTTAGTGGCAAAGACTCTGCACTAGAAATCTACGAGTCCTTCCTCAGAATCTCCCTCCCACGATGCACAAAGAAAGCTGCCCCTGGATGAGCCTGCCTTGCTGTCCTTCTCTCCCCATCAACAACTGAGAAGGGACAAAACTGACCTGCCTCACAAGGCTGTTGTAATCATGCCCATGAAGGTCTCCGTACATGTTTTCCAAAAGGCAGCTGTTTTACTCTGTTGGAGCAGGAACAATGACCAAGAGCTCTGTGTGACCTTGAAGGCTTCACACTTTTGTTTTGGCATGTGCCTGATGAATGAATTCCCTAACCCACAAACGTGCCATAACAAATTATTAATGTTTTGAGTTGTCACAGCATCCCTTGCTGTTTTTCATGCAACCCATGTTTTCAACACTCAAAATGCGAATTTCATTTATTTGAAACGTTTACCTCCTGCCCTACTTTGCAAAGGCTCCGGGGCAGTTAATCTATGCGTGCAAAAGCCATCAATAATGGTTAATGCTAAGCATTCTTCAGGAGGAAAAACGAGGAAAGGAACTTCAGCAGCAGCGACTGCACGGATTTCCTCTTTCCTGCGTCCGCCTGCAGACTTTCTGTCAGATCCACAGGTGCCTCCCTCCGGCACTCCCCACCACAAACCTTGTGCCCTCCAGCGTGTGTGTGCAAAGCCGCTCCTTGCACGCACCAGACCCTCCACCAAGGAGTGCAAACTTATTCAGAGCTCTTCCCTCTCCCTCCCCGACAAGGCACTGACATTTTCCAAACAACCCCAGGCCAACGTGGGTGACACCGAAGTGCCCGATCCTTAAAGGAAGGGAGGCCCGATCCTTAAGATGCCCCAGCCTCCACACGACTCACGCCTTCGGGATTCGGCTCGGTCTCTCTCTCTCTCTCTCTCTCCCCCTTCCCTCACCCGCCTGCCGAGAACACTGGCCAAAGTCTGTGCTTACCCGCCGTCAAAGTCCCCCGCGGCTCCCAGGTAAAACCAGGGCAGAAGGATGAACCTCAGGGAGAAGTCCATGTCGGGGAGGGGGGCGACGGGCAAGAGAGAGAGAGAGAAAGGGACGGAGTGGGAGAGAAGGGGAAGGGCAGGGAAGGGCCGGCGCAGCCTCTCGGGGCGTCTCCGGCGGGCAGGCAGGTTGGAGCGAGCGGTACGGGAGGGCGACCGCGCAGCGAGCGGCTCCTGCTCCTCTCGACGCTCGCCGGAGAGCGCGGCACACCGAACCGCGGGGGGCCCCCTCGGGGGGGGGGCTGTTGCTAATCCTGGCTCCTGAGGGGGAAAGCGAGACGTCCGCCCAGCGCAGGAGTGGCGGGAGGGAGTCCCCGCGCCCGGCTCTCTCCCTCGCCGTGTCGCCGGCCCGCCTGCTCGCCTGCTTCCTCGCTCGGTGCCCTCGTCGTCCCTCCCAAAGGAGGCGCTGCTGCTGCTGCTGCTCGGAAGCGCCCGGCGGCCCGAGGGGAGAGGCGCGCGCCCCCGCGCCGCTGAGCTTCCCTGGGAGGCAGCGGCTGATGACACCCCCCCCACACAAGCCCGCCTAAAAGGCGTGAGGGGTTGGGAGCCGGGGGGGGGGCGGCGGCGGGGGAGAGAGACCGGGACGGGACCGGCAGGGGGTTGTAGTTTAAGAAATACGAGCCAAATGAAGTGAGGGTTTGGAGGCTAAGGCTTCCCTCAGAACGGCGCTTAAAAAAATAAACAAAAAAAAAATAAACCACAAACACGAAGTGCAAAAGCAAATCAATCACTCGTGAAGATAAATACACTTCGTTTCGGTTTCGTTTTTCCTCATCCCTCTAGTGCCGGTGGAGAGCAGCGGGGCTCATCGCAACGACACAGGCACGCGGGCGCGCTCCCGGGCCCGTGGATATTTACCTGCCCGACAGGACTGCCCCAAAACGCTAAGCTTGCCCAGTTAAAAATCAGAGCGATTGAGTTCAGTGAGCCCTGCATGCACTGCTGAGTTCTGCTCAACTGCTAAAATGGCAATTGCATTTGCAAAGGATAACCAGGGTAGTGTGTGGTGGATCGTGTGTCAGACTAGGATTCTGGAGACCTAGGTTTGAATTCCAGTTTAGCCATGTGTTCACAGGGAGGGGGGAGGAACTGGTAAAGCTCTTCCTTAAATATCTCACCTTGGAAAGCCTATTAAGGTCCCTAAGGGTTCCTTCCAACTTGAGGGCGCATGACAACAGCTAAAATTGCATTACCTGTATTTCCACAACTCTTACTAAGCTCCTCAACGAATGTTGGTTTTATTCCGTTTACTTATGTATCTTGGTTTTGTACTGGTTTTCCATGTTTTCATGTACACAGCAGGTTACAATATCCAAAACAAAGGGCAATCCATTAAAATCAGAATACTGGGCATATTTCCCTTGGGAGGGCATTCTGTACAGGAGGCACTACTGAGAAAGCTTTTTCCTGGTGGACACTTTTTGCATCTTTATGGGCAGTAGCAACCTATAATACTCCAAGCATGACTTTAGGAAGCCAGCAGGATCATATAAAAGTAGGTTGTTGTCGTCGTTTAGTCATGTCCGACTCTTCGTGGCCCCATGGACCAGAGCACGCCATGCCCTCCTATCTTCCACTGCCTCCCGTAGTTGTGTCAATTTCATGTTGGTTGCTTCGATGACACTGTCCAACCATCTCATCTCACAAAAGTAGGTAGGTGTTCCCTAAAACTGTTCAGGGTTTTAAAGGTTAGTACCAACATTATTAAATGAGTTCGAAAATGACTGGTAACCAGAGCAGTTGACATAGCACTGGCAAGATGTGTTTGAAACAACTAAGTCCCAGGTAGCAGCCTTCCTGCATTCTGCACTAACAAGTTTTTGGACCATATTTAGAGAAAGCCTGATATACAATACATTGTAATAAATCAGACAGGTTGCCAATGTATGGGGGACTGTAGCCTAGTTATCTTCATCCTCATAATGTAGCTAGTTTAACCAAGCAAAAGTGACAAAAAAGACTTGGTGCCACTTGGACCCCAAGCGACAAAGCAAAATCTAGCACCCCAAGCAACTTTAACCAAGCAAAAGTGACAAAAGAGACTTGGTACCACTTGGACCCCAAGGGACAAAGCAAAATCTAGCACCCCAAGCAACAAAGCTGCTTCTTCCAGGTGCGTGCAACCCCATTTACAGCAGGATGGATATCACTGACTTGGTGGCCTAGATACTGTATGTTTATTGTGAAATTCTAGAAATGTTTGTTGTAGAGATGGGCAACCAGGGTCTTGAACGTGCTGTTGAACTGCAGGGGTAGAGGCCTCAAAACATCTGGAAGGACACCAATTATTCACCCTGATCAAATGAAAACAGATTGCTGAACAGAAGCATGGCATATAACACAGCTAAGGAGCAATGTTAATTCTTACCAGCATGGTAGCTCATCATTCTTTCTCAAAAAAATCAGTTCAGATCATGGGCTCCTTGCCTGAAAATACATTTTAGGAAAATAAGATGGGGGACTGGATCATAGATCTGCCATATAACGTGCAGTTTGGCCTTAGTCATATAAAGCTGGTTGGATTGGCTTATTTGTCTTCATAATACATACTTGTGCCTCTAAACATTGTGTCAAAATGAAAGCTGGAAGCTAAAAGCAAAACATAAAACATTATTTGAATCGTTTGGGGAATTAAAAAAATAATACGACAAATGTTTTGAAAGCAAAAATCTGAAAATAGATCCATGGAATGCTTTGCTAACACACCCTAAACCATGACCCCAGTTGGAACATTACTATCAGAACAGGGGGGAAATAAAGAACTAAGAAAACACACAACTGAGCAGATGAAATTACAAACACTGTGGGTTGGAAATCCATGTAGTAACTTCAACATCAGCTCTGATTGTTGATGCATTGTGGTGAACAAATTCAAAGAATGTCAAACTAAAACCTTTTCCAAACAGAGGAAAAATTCTGCCCCTATTGGTCACAGTTGCAGCTCATCCCAAAAGAGAGCAAGGCTTATCAGGACGTGCAATGGCACTGAAGTTTTAAAAGCCAAGTCTTGAAAAATGCCTCTCTTTCGGAGGTCTAGCAGATCCTCTTTTGAAATCCTGTGCTGTCACTTTTGCTCTGAAACCCCCGTTCTTGTATAATTGTAGAGACTGGAGAAAGATCTGGATCTTGCCAGACCAGCTATAAAAGGGAATAATTTAACCAACTCCGCAGTAAACCCATTGGAATCAATTAAAAACCAACAAAGGATACAAGCTAATATAATACCACAGGGCAGTTTAGACATCATAAGCCAGTCTATAGTCAGTCAGAGTGGAAACAGATTGCAATTTGGAAGTTTCATAGTCTGAGAGCCACATGGCAGACGGCGTTCTCCCACATACTTGTTAGGTGGACTTTGAAAGCTGCTGATATTTTAAAGAGAGCCACTCCTGAAGTCCAAAAAGTATAATGACTGGGATAGGCAGTCCCTCTGAATTTTTTAGGAGTTCTACAAAGCTCAGTTTTAACACTGATTCTCTTCAACATATACATAGACCACTGTCAGAGATCATCCATGGCTTTGGAGTTGGGTAACATCAATATGCTGATGTACACATAGCTGTATCTTACATTGACTAAGCAACCAGAGGCAACTGTGAAAGTCCTTAGTTATTGTCTGGAGGCTGTGGCCAAGTGTCAACAAACTGAAGCTGAATCCTGACAAGACAAAGGTGAGGTTGATCATTTAGTGACTGACAAAGCCAGTTCTCACATTTCTAACGATCAATTTTAAAAAATCTCCTTTGTGAATCAGGTAAAGAGCTTGTGTGTCTTATTAGACCCAGTGTTCCTCCTGGAAAAACGGAGAGGTGTGACCAGCTGAACAATTTATCAGCTGTCCCTAGTCAAGAAACCATCTCCTTACTTAGAGAAAGCAGATGTGGCCATGCTGATCCATAGAACTGTAACTCTAAAATTAGACTACTGTAATTTGCTCTATGCGGGGCTACCTTTGAAGGTATATCAGAAGCTGCAACTGGTACAATATGTGCTACTTAGGTTGTTAACGGGGGTACTCTGCATGTTACAACCATGTAACATGCATGTTGTGCCAGCTAAATTGACTGAAAGTGGTTTTCAACGCACAATTCAAGGTCTTGACTTAAGACCCACCTGCATGGCTTGAGACCCACATACGCATTGAACCGCCTCTACCCATGAGTCCTTGCACCCCTTGAGATAATCTGGAACTGCCCTACTAAAGGCACCACTGTTAAAATTGTTTGTCTCAAGTAGGTCAGGAAAAAATCATTTTGTGTTTTTGCCCCATGAATTCTCTTTCTGAGTTGCTGTGAAGTATGACATCCCTGCAAGGACCAGGAAGGGGTGTAACACTTTTTAAATGTCTAAACCACTGACAACAAAAGTGAGTACACCCCTAAGTGACAATGTCCAAATTGGGCACAAAGTGTCAATATTTTGT